TAAAACAATGATCCCCAGGCTAGCCAGTGGGATAGTGGTTAAGGTGCTGGAGGCTCACATGGCCAACTCACGGTTCGAGTCCCAGACTTGGCAGCTAGAAAATTACTCCAGGCACATGTACGTGCACACCCAAAATCCCAGGAGAATCGAGATGGGATTGTGGTGTGGACAGTCTCTCAAAGGGGTCATTTCTCACTTTCCCTCTGTCTGTCTCTCCAGCGAATGCATGTGCCCTAGGGCATAGACCTTTAAAAACAACTGATGAGGATGCAGGTAGGTCTGGTAGCAAACCTGGGCAGATAGACGCAGTTTTAATGCCCCAACACACACACATACACGCTGCCTTCCTGTCTTCTCTTATTATTCTGCTCCTACTCCATCAGTTACCTGGTCCTTCTTAGAACTAGGATAGCCTAGGACCAGCAGGTGGAGTAGTAGTTAAGGTGCTGGACTCCCACATGACTGACCATGGTTTGAGTCCCAGACCTGAAGGCTAAAAATCACGCCCATGGAGAGGAGAATGGAGGAAAAGGACTGCGGCATGGCCATCTTTTCTCTTATTATTCTGCTCCTACTCCATCAGTTACCTGGTCCTTCTTAGAACTAGGATAGCCTAGGACCAGCAGGTGGAGTAGTAGTTAAGGTGCTGGACTCCCACATGACTGACCATGGTTTGAGTCCCAGACCTGAAGGCTAAAAATCACGCCCATGGAGAGGAGAATGGAGGAAAAGGACTGTGGCATGGCCATCTTCTCTGGGGGTGAGTTCTCACCTTCTCTCTGTCTCTCCAGTGAGTGCACACACTCTATAGCAAAACATCTCTCTGGGGAAAAAACAATAAAGAAAAGAAAGAAACGTGAGAGCCTACCAAGTTTTTCTGAGCAGTTTGACTATCCTTCAGAAATCATTTTCTCATGTTAAGTATTTTTTTCTGTGTTAATTTTGGTGCCTCTCATTCATGCATTAGATTATTGCTCAAGACGGAGATGATCTTGGGTGACAGTTTATATTTCTAATTGGAAATTGCTGTCAGTTAGCAGCCACTGCTCCTTCCATCATGCTACCAGTTAGAACACACGCTTAGAGGGTCACGTGTGCAAGCTGAACACAGAGGAGTGCCGAAATCAGCTTTTAACATTTCTTCTTTCTCTGCTGTTTTGGGGAAAGTTGTGAAACGCTCCAGGCCCACTCTGCCACCTTACCCATCCCCAGTACCAGTTTGCGGTATTTAGAAAGAGTCTAGAGTGTTATTCTCATGGCAGAAAGCAGCGCTGCTTACTGCTCGCGGGAAGCAGCAGCTGAGCATGTCCCAATCGTCGGTTGTTCCAAGCGACGTTTTAGCTCATTGTCGTTATCTTTGTCCCAGGACCTCCTTCTGCTCTTTGAGTGTGGAGTTCACAGTTTCTTTACTTTGGAAAACTAATTAGATTTGAAAAACTGCTCTGGTATTTGAGCTTGCCTTTGTCAGCACGCGTTGGGCTCTGTTTGCTCTTCTCTGGAATCTCTGTTCATCTCATCCCAGATTCACTTGTTTCTTAAGAACTCTTCAGAATGTGCTCCGGGCCAGCTGGCGGCAGGGGGAGGACGCCGAGCAAAGGTCTCGATTTGTGGCCTCCCTGTGTGCCAGGTGCCCGTACGTGTTGCCGAAGGCCGTCTGCCACTGGCCAGGGGTGGGCGGTGGCAGGAAGGCCTTGTGAAAAGTGCCTGTCTCTCTCTCACTGTCTCTCTCTTCTGGAAGCAATAGAAAATAAACTTCAGAAGTTGCTTGTTAAAAAAAATGTGTTCTTATGTAATTGTACCATTTATCAATATCCAGGATTATACCTATTATTTTTCAAAATAGTCTTTTCTGTTCTTTCATTTACATATTGTGGAGAAGAAAAATAGATGCATGTTCTCAGTCTACAATTTTGATAAATTCATTTCTCTATATGAATTAAAATTACATAGTTTAATCTAAAAAATAAATACATGTTCATTGTAGAAAAATCTAATATATTATACTTACTGTACTGTATCATTAGATAGTATTATTATATATACCTATCTATCTATTGATCTGTCTATCTAATAAAACTATCCAGTGCCCACAGCTATCAGGTTGTCAGAAAGTTATGACACATTTTTGCATAGAAAAAAAATACATCATGACTTTTTCCAGCAAAAGAGCTACTCTTGATATTTTCAGTATATGTGCCTATTCTATTCTTACTCATTCAAATAAGTGTTTTGAATTCCTACCACACAGTTGTGTTTATGTATATTTTTTATTTTACTAAAATAAGAACCTACTAAATTGACAATTTTATAACTCAAAATTTTCAGTTACGTTATAAACTCGTTCCTTATCGTTAGATATTTCTTGATTTTTTTTTTAGCTACATCTCTTATCATATGATATATTTTCATCTGGCCCTTTATTGCTTAGATTGCTTCCAATTTTTTGCATGATAAATGCGGATTTTGTGAGCACTTATAGAGATAAATCTTTTTGCACATTTCTGTTTATGTCCCCAGAGTAAATAAAATACCTCGTCTTAATCTCTTATCACGGAGAAATCAGCGGAAAATTCCAGATAGTGCTATGGTAAAACAACTTACTCTTCCAACTTTTAAGGCGTATTTAAATAAAATAAGTTTTCTAGTTCTTTCATCAACTCACAAAATAATTGAGCTGTTCTCCTGCAACCTTTCACTAGGTAGATAAATGGATGCACGAGAGAGAGAGGGAGAGAGAGAGAGATGACGTGAGTTGGCTTGTAAAAGGGTTTTAAATGGTTAGAGAAATAAAGGCTAGTTTTCATTTTATTTCAAACAAGACCTCTCTTGCAAGAAATCTGGAAATCCCAGGTGTTTTTTTCTGCTTTAATTCTGCAGCTTTCTAAGACAGAAACAAAACAAAACGTGTCCTTCCTCGATAACAACACAGAGACAGCAAGCACCTCCCAAGGGGCATTTCCTTTTTACTCATCTTTCCTGGTAGAAGTGCCCAGTGGAACGTGAGGCATCTCTCCTGGGTACCGTGATACCACATGCCAGCTCCTTCCAGCTCTGCTGCCTTTCCCTGTCCCTTTTCATCCCGTCAATGGCCTTTAGCCCAAGACCCCTGAGAACGACCTGCACTTGTACTGTTTGGATTTTCTGTGTTTGCAATGAAGAGAAGACACACTAGGAGAACCACGGGTTGTCTCGGCAAAGGCATTAGGAAAGGGGTCAGGATTCAGGTTTGTGTTAAACAATGTGAGTGAGGGCAGAGGAAGCAGGGCTTCACTGTAGCTTACTTGCCATCAGGAATCCAGGGTGATTGTTACATTCATGACTCTGCTTGGAAGTAAGGGGCCACCTGCTCCGGTTGGCTTGCACTGGAGGGGGTTCCTAGGACACAGTATTTTCAGGGCCCAAATCAGAAAATCCCCAGACAAACTGGGAGAAGGGTGTCATCTGTCCAGAGGCAGGAGAGATGAAAAGAGGCTGAAGTGGGGTTAGGTAAAGCAGCACCAGTGGTTCAAATTGGTGGGGATTTGGGATGTGTGGTCGCTTGGGTGGTTGGGGCAATGCTCATATTTTGCCTGGATTCCATGTAACTGTAGAAAGGTCTTGATCCACCATGGTGACAGAGTAGCCCTGTCCCATGTTGATGTTATGTGAAATTGTAGGTGTTCAATAGGAGAGGCTGGGGCTTACCTGGATTGCCAGCCGGCTGCTGGAACAAGACCTTCTCCTGGGGCTAGGCAATTTCCAGCTGCTTTTCTTTTCTTTCTTTTTTTAAATTTAGTTCGCCTTGTTGGAGATCTGAGGGATATTTTGGGGTAGACTTAAGACTTTACAAATGTGACCTTGTTTTGAAAGTCCTAATTTAGTCACATTGATTCTGTGCCCCAATGAAACACTTTGGACTTTGAGACATTGAATAATAATAATAAAAATAACAATCCATCTCTCTTAAAACATCTTATTTTTCAATACAGAACAGTGTTTTAATGATTAATGATTTAATGTGACCAAACGCTCAATGACTAAATATTGAAATAAAAAACCAGATATCCTGTTTCTTCTTTGAAATTCAAAATTTGCATTAGCATATTTCTTCCTTTCTTTCTAAAAAAGTTTCCACTGCTTTACTTTCTTTACCTCTTTCTTTTTTTTAATCATTCTTTTTAAGATTTTTGCTATAGGGCACATGCACTTGCAAGAGAGAGACAGAGACAGGGAAAGTGAGAAATCATCCTATGAGGGGATGGCCACACCACAGTCCTTTCTCCTCCAGTCTCTTCCTGATATTTTGGGCACATGGGCCTGCCTTGATTTTCAAGCTTCTGGGTCTAGGACTTGAACCACAGTCTGCCTTGTGGGAGTCCTGCACCTTGACCATCACACCACCTTCTGGCGGGGGTTTGGGATGTGCGGTCGCTTGGGTGGTTAGTATATTTCAGTGTTGTTGGTAGTACTACCATAAAGAAACACAACTTATTTGATATAGAATGCTTATTTTCATAGCACACATTAACATTTTGATGAACGTTAATATTTTACTATCAAATTGGTGTCAAATATTATTTAGTGACTGTCCTATAGTCATGGCTTTTGTTTTAAAAATTAAAAATATATACAAAGGGTAAGCAACAGCTCTGATTTAACTTGTTCTGATTTAAAATAATGTACATTTTCTTAATAACCATCATGAAAAGGAAATGGTTTGTGTTTTTGAAGATTTACTATTTTAATATTAAGCAAAAACATAAATGGGGAATTATTTGTTGTTTTTGGAAAACATTTTAACTAGTGAACATGTAATTATGTATTTGATTTAGTTTAGTCATAGAGGTTATACTACGAGTTAAACTGTGAAGCGGCATTTTAATTATTAACATGGATCCAATTATTTCAGCTACCTTAAATTTGGTTGCCCTTGATATTTTAAATCAGTCGTTCAGCAATGAGTCTTTATAAAAATGGAGGAAATGATATGGCTTTAGCTAAATCTTAATCTGTGTTTATAGAAGTCTCTCTCGGTTCTGAAGAATACCTGGAGATCAACATTCCACCAGACCTAAGGGCAAAACCTTCAGGGGAAGTAAGTGAGACGCTGGAAAAAGAAGAATTATTAGAAGCTTCAAGAAGCACCCTTCCCCGGGCAGTGGTGCTTCCTGTTGAAATTCCATGTGAGGTCAGTAAAGACGGCTTCTTGTGGAGGGTCCCTTGTTTTTGTTTTTGTTTTTGTTTTGAAGGGCTTTTGCTATAGGGTATGTGTACTCGCCAGAGAGAGAGAGACAGAGACAGAGAAAGAAGGAGATCACTCCCTTGAGGGATGGCCACGCTGCAATCCCTTCTTCTCCTTTCTCCTCTCAGGATCTTGGGTACACATGCACATGCACCCAACGTGAGTTTAAGCCACCGGGTCTGGGACTCAGACTGCGGTCAACTACATGGGAGTCCAGCGACATAGCCATTATGCCAACTGCTGGTCCTGGGCCCCTTGTTTTAATAGATGCCGTATTTCCTAAGAATATAAGCTCGACGGAGCTGGCGCTTTCATCTACTTTGTTCATGGCTGCCCAGGACCTAGGACAATGTCTGGTGATGAATAGGAAATGAACATGTTTATTCAATCGTTGAGTATTAGAGAACATATAGAAGCTTAATTTTATCAAATGTCGCCTGACACTTTGCAAACGGGTCTATAGTCGCTGTGTATATTAAGCTGCGTAAAGGAGAGTTGGCATCCTATTAAACAGATCAAGGATTTTATTTCATAAAGAGAAACATACCCTTGAAGAGAATTTACAAATATTTATCTTTAGGATAAAACACTTTTTATTGGTAAAACATGTGTTTCTGACACTAAGTGAAAAGGGCAGCACTAAAACAGCTGGTCCGTCAGGGAGTAAGAGTGGCGACTACATGAATGTGTGTTCCTGACCTTTCCTCCTTGGAACGGACCACCAAAGGAGCCTACCCAGACCCCTGGCTGCGTTGTGTTTGAACAGTGAAAAGATGCTGAGCCTCAGTGTCTCTGCTGTCTTTGAGTGAAGAATGCCAAAGATGTAGGAAAGCCTATGGGAGTTGCATAGACGGGTCCTTCTGGTGAAGGGTTTGCATGGCCTGATTACAGGGCACTCTGAATGCTGAGGGTGGGTCCCTCGTCCTGCCCCGCAAGCAGTCCTGAGGGACACTCACGATTCTGTGTAGTTGAATGAAGTTTAATTCCTTTCCTCCTCCCTCTGCCCCATGCCTGAATTGCTGTTATGATCCATTGTGTTATCAATTCCAGGCCGCTTTGACACTACCTCAGAGACCCTAAGAAACTGAACTACACTGTCTTGAGGGTACTGACATTGATGATGACAAAGAAAAATTACAACCCATTGAAAGAACTCAGGTACTTAGAGAAGGAGAGCAGGCCAGTCAGAACCAGAGCCTCCTACTGGGTCAGACATAATGGAAGAGACAGAAAAGAACTGTAATAAAGAGAAGTGGAAATACTCTCAAGTAGAGGAAATCAAAGCAGAAAAGAAGAAGAAGAAGAAGAAAGCCCTCTGACACTAAAAATAGCTCACCAGGAGTTATGCAGTGAGTCTAAATAGCTGCTCTTAAAAATATCCACAACAGTAAAATCTGAGCACTTTTAAACTCTCCCATTACTAAATTTGCAAAGAAATCAAAGTCCAAAAAAAAAAAAGATCAAACCTCACTACCTTCTAGACAAAATCTTATGCAGATGGCTAGTTAGGATAGGTGTTCTTTCTTTTTTAAAAAATTTATTTGTATTTAGTTTTTATATCACATTTAATTACATATATCTTTACAGTGCACATTTCTTTTTTCAGCATGATTACCATATCAGTCAAGACATAGACATTACTATACACATTAGCATCAGCAAATAGCTTTTTATTTTTTTGTCATTTAAGCATACTTTTTCTTTTTCTTCCCTTGTTCCGCTCCCTCCCTCCATTACCCACCCTGTATTACCTCATCCTTACTATCTCTAGTATCTACCGTTGCCATCCCTGCTACTGTACCTTCCAAATTTTCAGTTTCTGTCCTAGCGCACAGACAGTTGGTCCACAGTGAGTGGGGACATTCAAAGTCTGTCTTTCATACTCTTTTTTGCTTCTCTTAGCATTACATCTTCCATATTCATCCAGTTTGTACCAAATGTCAGGGTTTCTTTGTTTTCTTATGGCTGAGTAGGATTCCATAGAGTATATATGCCACATTTTTTCAGTCCAGTCATCTATTTTTGGACATTTGGGTTGATTCCATGTCCTAGCAATTGTATATAACACTGCAATAAACACGGATATGCAAGTGTTTTTCTGCCTGAGGGTTTTTCTATCCTTTGGGTAAGTAACTAAAAGTGGAGTTACTGGGTCATATGGTAGTTCTATTTGTAGGTTCCTAAGGAATCTCCATATTGTTCTCTAAGAATCATGGGCTGTTTCTTTGTTAATAGAGACATAATTTTATACATCCTCTGCAGTCGAATCATTGCAATATCAAATCTTTCTCAAGTAGCTTACTTTTTGAAGAATCCTAACACTGAAAGATCATACAAGATTATGTTAGCACTAGCCCCCCCCACCTTAAAAATCCAAAATAAATTCATCTTTGACCAAAAAAAATAGTCATCCCAGGAAAACTCTTGCATTCTCAGGACTTACATCACAGTATAATCTGAATCCATTTGGCTCTTGTCAAGTACCACCAAAAAAGGCCATTTGGGTCCCACTGAGTGAAAGTTATGTTTCACGTTTGCCAGGGTGACCTTCAGTCTGTGCCAGTTGTCTGGGAGTATAACCTTTGCACTTACGTTCCCTCTGAGAGGTCTTCCAGTTGGTGGTGACTGCTGACTTCTTCCCGGGATGTGTTGGCTGAGGCTCCCTCCACTCCCACAGAATCGAGAAATTTGTGGCATTATTCTTGCCCATCACCAGATCTTATTAAATGTACCCTGATCACAGCATCTCTAAAATCTATGAATTTCTTTACAGTTTGGAGTTTCCTGCATGTAACACTGAGTTGACAATAGACATTTTTTTTTAAGGTTTTTGCTATAGGGCATGGGCGGTTTGCCAGAGAGAAGAGAGGCAGTGAGAAGGAAAGTGAGAAATCCCCCTCCAGGGGGGATGACCATGCCAAAATCCCTTCTCCTGTGTTTTTGGGCACACATGCACCCATGCCCAGCATGAGTTTTAAGCCACCAGGTCCAGGACTTGAACCGTGGTCAGCAATGTGGGAGTCCAGTGATGTAACCACTGTGCCACTTGCCGGCCCCGACAGTGGATTTTATATAGTGGCATAATGATGATGAATGAAGAGTTGGTTCAGATCCCTCCCGCTGCTGCTTTTGCGGTGGAATTGCTAGGGTCTGCGTCCTACATTTCTGCAAGGTTCTCTTCCTTGTCTGCCCCCCTCTGCAGGAGCCTCAGCTCCAGGAGATTGTTACCTGGGTCTGTGGCGACGCAGCTGCTGTGCCTATGACTCTGGGAGCTCGTGAGTGTCCATCCCTCACTTCGCTATCTTTCCAGCTTGGTACATTTCCATAGATTTTGGATTTCCTGGACCTTGAAAATCTTGTGCCACTTTAAAACAGCAGAAAAAAAATTTTTTTTCTTTAACCATTGCATCCATGCAGTGGTAGAAGTCTGGTTTTAGTGCTCTACTTATGTAAGCTTTCCCCATCTCTGTAAGGAATACCTAGGCGAATTTTAGTTTCAAATCTGTGTCTAAAGTTGGCCTTTTCTTTTATCTTCTGTGGGATTGGCACACTGTCCTAGTTTAGTATTTTAAAATTTATTTTCTTTATTGATGGGCCAACACCTTAGTTTTTCTAGCATAGTCTTGATTTTTGTCGTATGGGGGAATTGAGCACGATATGAATGAGGTTGGTTTGTTCAAGGTCTGCCACCTGCCTCGTTGTTCAAGTGATTCAGATCCAGTTTTCTCTTCCTAAGGAAAACTCTAAATGGGAAACATACTCCTCTGGAATCCCACTGAGCCAGAACTGGACCTGGTCTATTATTTGGTAGTTTTTCTTGCCTGTGCAATCCATTACTCTAACGTCCTAATTCTACAAATCCCTTGGGTACATTCCCTCAGAGCAGTTCTCCACTGGGAGTGGTTTCACTCCTGCCAAGGGGACGTTTAGCGGAAGTCTGCAGATGTCCTTGGTTGTCATTGAATGTGGGATTGCTACCAGCCACTAGTGTGCAGAAGCCTGGAATGTAGAGGACAGCCCCCATAACAACAAGGACTTCTCTGGTCCAAGACTGTCGATTGTGCCAGGTGAAATCTTATCTCAGACATAGACCTGTGCACCTCCCAATAACTAAATCACCTTCAGACTCACCTGATGGTGACCTGACTGTGCAGCTCCCCTCAGAGGGCGTGTTCTCTGCAATCTGCCCGGGTCCACAATCTGCCCGGGTCCACAGTCACTTGCCGAAACCACCTCATCGCTAAAGGAGTCACAGTCATTTCTGGAAAAGAGGGTTTATTCTCCATTCGCAATTTTGTCAATGAGGAGAGATTTAATTCAGGATAGCCTGCGGACAAGCGCTGGGTAGTATTAGACTCTGGTAGAAAATGCCTGATGTGGATTGAGTATCAGCTGAAATGATTTTGTAAGATCAACAGATGATCTGCAGAATCTCTGTGGGCCAAACATGAAGATGTAAGTCATTTTGGGGAGTGAGTATACTCAGAGTAATAATATTTAATTAAGCAATTTTGAAATGATTGACTTTGGGATACACATAATTTTGAAATACTAAATCAGGTTACTTTTTCATCTCATAGAATCCTGGTGAAATATTCATTATTTTGAGAGAGGAAGTCATTGGTGATACTGTGGAGGTTGAATTTGCATCCAGTAATGAGTGCATCAGGACACAGCCAGCCCTCTGGAGTCAGAAAGTCTGGTGTATGAAAGCTCTAGGTAAGAATTTTTATGCTTCAATATGTATAAAGCATCACCCTGAGTTCTTTTCCATAAACTTATGATAAATGGTTTCACTTCCCTACAGAAACAGCTATTGCTCTGCAGGTGTTTCCTATGTGTGGCTTTCACACACCCAAGGTTGGTATTATTAATCTGGATTTGCAAAAGGAAGGATGTGTAAATGATGAGAAATGTATACCATGTATATACCATGGAGTGAAGTGATGGCCAGCAAACATCACATGTTTAAACCTGTCAGTGGAGAACGCTTTAATATATGTCAGCTCTTAAAAGTGTACCTTGTTGTAACATTGGGATTAACAGATACTTGAATTTTTATTAATGACTGGTCTTTTTTCCTTACTTTTGTTTCCCCACACCTCTTAGTATACTTTTGCATGGTCTAGAAAGCATAACTCCTTGTCACTATGTTATCACCATGGTACCATTGGTATGTATAACCACCACAGTTTTTCCTTATTTGATTTTTGAAGGTGATCGTTTGATTATCCAGCTTTGTATGCAGCATGATGAATTACATCAGAATGAAAATTCCAGATAAAATAATCACACTTGTCACAATAATCACAGTAAAATAAAAACCTAAGACATTCACCTCTGAATGTTTTAATGTAAATGTAAAAGGCTATTGGACTTTTTAATTCATGATATCCTTTTACAATCTGAATAAAATCAGCTTGGGGCCAGCAGATGGTATAATTGTCGCTAGACTCCCACCTGGCTGACTGTGGTTCAAGTCCCAGACCTGGAGTCTTGAAACTCATGCCAGACATGTGTACGTGCATGTCCAAAACCCCAAGAGGGGAATGGAGTAGAAGGGATTGTGGTACAGCTATCCCCCCTGGGGTGTTTTTTGCTTTCTGTCTCTCTGTCTCTCTCTGTCTCTCTGGTGAACTCATATGCCCTATAGCAAAAAATCTCTCTTAAAAAAAAGAAAGAAGAAAATTAGCTCACAAAATTTTCACAGATGTGAACATCATAAGATACTGTGCAAATGTATTTGTGGTGTCCTATTAGGAAGGGTTTCTTTAGGTCAAGATCTTCCTGCCCCAGGCTCTCACGTAGCTGGGACCAGAGCATTGCCACTTTACCTGTCTGTCTCAGACAGGGCCTGCCACGTCACTCACACTCATGCTCCACCTGCCTCAGCCCCTGCAGCTGCTGGAACCACGGGCATGAACCACCGTGCCTGGCTTTTCAGGGCGGGCTGGGAATCACATGTGGCCTCCCAAGTGGCCTCAGCCTGCCCAGCGGCTACATCTAGCCTGCACTACCACAGCTGGACCCACGAAATACTGGGAAATGAAAAGATACTTAATCTTATTATGAATTTTAAAATGTAGCAAAAATATTTCAAGTTAAAGAGTGTGTCAAATATATACTTTCTTTTCCTTTTAGAATGCAGCTATTTTTCTTTTATTGTGCAGTCCATTTTATAGGCCTTTGCGTTGTGCAAAGCATGTGTCCCCATCTGGATTTCTCTGCACAGTTCAGGTGGGAGTTAGATTACACAATAAGAAGGAAAGGCCTGCCAGCGAGCATCTGTAGACCTTTCAGCCCCTGCTTCCTGCCCTGGACCAGCACATGCAAAAAGGAGATGAGAAAGAACCCTCTTAGGACCTTTCTTCTGCTTTCTTCCTGGTCTTGAAGCTCCCTACTACCTCATGTCATGTTTTTAAATGATTTAATGAACAATAATTTCTAACTAATTAGTTGCAGAGTTTAAACTAAATCTAATTGGACTAAAATCGCTACAGAAAAAAAAAATCAATTGTACAAATTAAGAAGTACTTAAATAGTATTTCCCAAATAGCAGATCAAGATGTTAAATAAAACGATGCATGTTACGTAAATTTTTTGCACGATATACCTAATGGCTAAGAGCAGTGCAGAGAATAAAGCATGGCAAAGTTTGACTTGTTTATTGGAAAAACAGAAAGTCCATACTCGATGTTGGAGCTTTTGAAGGATCAGTAAAATCAATAAATGTCTAGCCATGCTAACTAAGAAAGCGAGAAGACAGAAATTGCCCATATCCAGAATGAAATAGGGGTTATTACTACTAATCTGTGAATATTAAAAGACTAGGGACCAGCAGATGGTGTGATGGTTATGTTGCCGAACTCTCACGGAGTCAACTGTGGTTCAAGTCTCAGACCCAGTGGCTTAAAACACACACTGGGCATGTATGTGTGCATGCATGCCCAAAGTCCTGAGAGAACGGAAGAAAAAGGATTGTGGCATGGCCATCCCCCTGGGTGGGAGGGTGCTGATTTCTCACTTTCTGTCTCTCTAATGAGTGCATGCACCTATAGCAAAAAATCTCTCTCTCTAAAAAAAAGAGAATAAAGAGTTCTATGGGCAACTGTATGCTGACATATTTTTTGTTTAATTGCCAGAGGACATGGGTGCTCACCAGAGAGAGACAATAGAGACCAAGGGGAAAGAGGGAGAAAGTGCCCCCACGAGGGCATCACCATGCCAGAATCCGTTCTCCTCCATTTCTCCATCCTTCAGGGTTTGGCACACACACATACACAGCATGTTTTTCAAGCTGCCAGAGTCGGGATATGAACTGTAGTTGCCCAGTCATGTGGAATCTGGCTTCCTTAACCGTTAGACTGCGGACTCAGCCCCAGATTTGATCATTAGACAAATGGACAAATATAAAAGACATAAACTACCAAAACGCACACAAGGAGAGACCATCCAAGTATCTGAAACAAAATGAATCACTGACTATTGACCTTCCGTAAAAGACAGCACCTGTGCCAGATATGGTCAGTAGCTAGCAAGGCGGGGGTGGGGGGGAACAGGTTCAAGTGCAATTATGCTACTCTGTGGGGAAAATTCCTAAAACATTCACTTTCTAAGTAGCATTTTCTCTGGTGACACACTTCTTTACATCTTCATTAGACATTTGTAACCAAGTATTTTCTAGTTTTGCCATCTCCCCTTGTCTTCCAGCTCAGTATCTTTTTGTAAACTTACCTTACTCATGATTGAGAGCACATGTTGAACATGACAGAGAGAGAGAGGGGAGAAGCCTCGACAAGGTCTGGCCATGTCCTGATCCGTTTCCCTAACCACCAGTACATCGAGTACACCCAGTGTGTTTTGAGTCAACTGGGCTAGGGATCCAACCCCGTGGAGGGTCATGTGACTTTCAAGACTGCAGTGTGGCATGTTACAACTCTGCCCCGGAGGCTGGCCCAGCTCAGTGTGCTGCTGTACCCTAATTACTTCCTTTTCTAAGGAATCATATTTCCTGCGGGTACCCATTGTTTGTCCTTGACAGGGACCATTTTGTGCTGGAGAAATTTGAAATCCCAGCAAATGTCAAAACTTATAAATATATGTTTGAAGACTTTAAACTAGAACAATTAGCTAATTTTTAGACAGAAGAAAAAAGGGTATTCCTCTGATACCCATGGTACAACCAGAAAAAAAAAAATTAACACAGCAGGAAACAACCAATTAAAAGTTGAAAGGAATGCATAATATAGCCACAAAGATATAGAATCTTTATTAATTAGGAAACTGCACTCTTGATAATGCAAATCATATAAAGGGCTCACAGAAAATGAGAATTATGAAAAGAGTATGCATAGATTTCAAAACATTTTGCACCAAAACAAACTTGTGTTTTAATTCCATTTTTCCATTAGTATTTGAAGTCCCCTCATAACTTCATATTTCATTAAAAGCCCATGAAAATACCTTAAGATATGCCAATTAGGATGCCTACTTAGAAGAATAACAACTGATAATACATTTTTCCAGATATTATCATTCAGAAAAACAAGGCAACATATTTAAAATTGATAGTAATTGTTAGGTATGATTACAGTTTTGAAGCCATCTCTCTTTCTTTAATGATAATGTTCTCATCAGAATGGAGTCGTTTTGATTTTGATTCTCAGGAAAACGCTAAGTGTGCTCATTTGATGTTTACCATGTTGGAGAGGGCTGACAGCAGTTCATAAAGGGACACAGCTTCTCAGACCGTCCAAACACACAAGAAGAAGGGCTCTTAAGTGGGCGAAGTGGAGGCCCAGCCTTGCTCCTGAGTGGTGGACACTGCTGCTTAGCAGGCTGGGGCCACAGGAGAAGCTTCCACTCTATCTCCGACCTACCCTGAAAAACTGGGCATGGTAGCACACACCTGTGGTCCTAGCTACTCGGGATGTTGAACAAGAGGATCACGACAAAAGAAGATCCTGTCTGAAAATAAAGAACTACATATACACAAAATGAATAGATTTGTGGAGAGCAGCCAACGGCATAATGGTTATATTGCTGGACTCAATATAACTGCATATAATCGATTGCAGTTCAAGTCCCAGACCTAGCACCTGAAACTCATGCCAGGCATGTGTGCATGCGTGTCTAAGATCCTGAGAGGAGAATGGAAGAGAAGAGATTGTGGCATGGCTGTCCCCCTGTGGGGTTGAGGGGGGTGATTTCTTACTTTCTGTCTCTGTCTTGTCTGTCTTTCTCTCTGGTGAGCGTATGCACCCTATAGCAAAAATCTCTCTTAAAAATAAATAAATAAATAGATCTGTGATATGTCCACTTTTGTGGAGTTGTGAGATATTTTGACTGTTTAGAAATCCCTTTGGACTATATTTTCCATACATTACTTCAGTTTGTACCTCCTTTAGAAGGGCAGACAGCTTAAATCATGGAGAAGGGGAAGATGAACAATGGCTTGAGATTTGAAATTGAAACAGCATTCCTATTTTGTCATCACTCCTCTGCCAATGTTCCTTCTTGTATGTCTGTTTCTGATGGACAAGGACTTGGGTTTTTTCCTCCCGCCATAGCCTTTCTTCCTCTGCACACCTGACTCTCAAGGACACCCTGCTTGTTGGGGTGATCACCACCCGCAGCTGTGTGCACACCCAGGGTTAGATGTTCCTGCCTGCTCTATATAGTCTAGGTGGTGAACAGGAGAATTTGCTCTCTTATTTGAGTCCTTAAATGAGCTAGTTTTCATTTTTATCGAAGAGTTGTAAAATAGAGTTGTCATTGTAAAGCAAAATTAAAGTAAAATAATGCTCAACCACTACAGGGTACTGTTCACGAAAAGGACATTTCGGATGTTAACGAGAAAGCCAATTAAATCATGTATTGTTAAGGAGCCCCCTCCCCAATCAGCTGAATCTGAAACAAGTCTTCTCTAATATAGGTGGGAACAATAATGGGGTGTGATTAGTAATTGCCCCTTAATAAATGAGAAAATGTATATGTCAAATATACTTCCCGGAGCATTTCTGTGGAGGGTTACTCTAAACCAGCCTCATTCGCAATAGATCCGTTGGCATGGTGTTTAGTCGGCCATTAGCAGTGCATAGGAAGTAGTGGTCATCGGCGGGGTCGCAATGTGTTTTCTGTGCAAAAATGTGTCATGACTTTTCCCACGACCCAATAAATCCATTTATTGTCACTTTAGATTTTAAGGAAATTAGAATATTTTAAGTAGTATATTGGGGGAGGGGGAACCCTACCAAGCAGATCTTCTTTCCATATATCTCTCATGACCATTGCCTAGCTCTCTTTCAGAAGATTAAACTCCTCGTGGTAAAACTCCTAATCTCTATTTTGATTAAAAAAAATCAATTGTTATGACTTACCACAGTAAAACATTTTAATTACAGAAAAATCATCTTAATGAAATCTCCTGAAATCAATTTCATTTGACTCCAGGAGCCGCAGGACCCCTGTTGAATACACTGCTTAACCTGAGGAGACGAGCCCTACGACTTTCCACTTTTGTTGTGGTTTCTCTTACATCCTCTACCAGATATACTTCTGTTGTGAGAGAGAGGTCCTATTTTTCTATATACATCTTCTCTGCTTTTTTAATTGCCAGAGGGCACATGTGCTGATCAGAGACAGAGAGATACAGAGAGAGAGAGAGGGAGAGCAAGAAAGCACCCCCAAATGGGGCATGGCCCTACTGCAATTCCTTCTCCATTTCCCCATCCATGCCAAGCATGGTTTTCAAGCCATAGGGGCCCTGACCTCAGAGCATGGTTGGCCACGTGGGACCTGACTCCTTAACCTCTAGGCACAAGGCCACCCAGCATCTTCATAGCACAGGGTAGCTGTCTAGTCAGGCAATATGGGAGGAAGAAAGTTCAGTTCCTTGACCTAGTTAAGCTTAAGATTGTTTCTACAGCCTTTAAATTTTCCTGAGCAATATTATAAGAGGTCCTTTAACCTCTTCATGAGATTAAGTGAAATGAATATTTAAACCTGAAGAACTTTTAAATATTCAGAGCTACTAGTCATATATTTAATGACTTATTATAAACTCCAGATGTTTGAGTGATAGTTTTCTAGAAGAATTTGGAAGATATTTCTGTGATAGTGAAGGCTTTCGATATTTGTCCCACAAATGAATTTAAAGAGCTAAATTTTCTTTCGTTTTGTTATACTAATAAGCAATTTTTTATTTTTTATTTTAGTTTTTCTTATTAGGCATGTGTATTCACCAGCAAGATACAGAGAAAGTGAGAAATCACCCCCCAGAAATGGCCTGCCACAACCCCTTCTCCTTCACTGTCCTTTCAGGATTTGGGGCATGTACACATATATATGCACCTGGTGTGTTTTTCAAGCCTCTGGATATGGGACTCAAACTGCAAAGTCGCTCATGTGGGATCCAGCCACCTTAACCACCATGCCATCACTGGCCAAAGCAATAACTTTTCTGTTGAAATGATTGTTGGGACCAGCAGACGACGTCATGGTTACATCGCGGGACTCCCTCGTGGCCAACTGCCATCCCAGTCCTGGACCCAGCAGCTTAAAACTCATACCGCATGCCTGTGCATGCATGCCCAAAATCCTCAGAAGTGAATGGGGGAGAAGGGACTGCAGTGTGGCTATTCCCCCAGGGGGGGTGATTTCTCAGTTTCTGTCTCTCTGTCTCTTCAGCAAGCACACATGCCCTTAAGCAAAAACCTCTCTCCCTCAAAAAAAAGAAATGATTGTCTAATGTTTCTCTTTTGTGGAAAGCCCTGAATTCTTATGAAAGTTTAATTCTGTTGGTACGCCACGCACACTAGACTGTAGTGTAGCAGTCACTTCGAACAATTTGTTCACAAGAAGCTTTTGATGAATACGTGGAACAAATAGTCCTTAAGTATTAGGTCATTAAACTCTACCTCTCCCAGGGTTTTTTATTGTAATCAATTCAATTCAGGTTCTATCATTTCAATTAACTCTAATCCATTCAAACACTGTTTTTAGAAACGGCCTGTAATTAATTGGAATTTTCTTCATAAGATTAATAACAAACACCTAACTTATAATGAATGGTTGTACCTTTTAAAATTCTAAAGTATTATGTAAAGATGATTATAGATATTTACCCCCAAAAAAGAGGACTTTATTATGAAGGGAGGAAGGATTTAGTACTTTGCTTTTAATATTATTTTAGCATGTGCTTTAATTAAAATAACTAAGTTGGGGGGGGTCTGGTGGCATAGTGGGTAAGGTGCTAGACTCCCACATAGCTGACCATGGTTTGAGTCATGGACCTGGGGGCTTGCTTCCTCATTTCCCTTTTTTCTCTTTGTCTCTTTCTGATGAGCACACGTGCCCTGTAGCAAATTCAAGAATGATAAGAATAATAAATAAAATCATTTTTAATAAAATCAATTGAGTCTAAAATTATACATTTCATTTTGTGGTTTCTAAGTACTAAGGATGTAAAAACCATTTAAGTGCTAGAGTCCAAGTGTTATGAATCCGCAAAGCCTTCTTTCGTATTTTCTAAGAGATGTGATAAGAGGACGCACAGTAGATACTGAGCTCCTGCCTCTCGTTTCTGTCTTTCAAGACTTTCCTGCCGGCCCAGTGAGTGTCCATGTCTATTGCGATGGTGTCATTCAGGCCACGGCAGAGATTAAATATTACCCAGGAGCGAGGTCCGTGGAATGCCCATGTGGAATGGCGACCCCAGGAGCGGGTTTGTGCCAGGTAAGCGGACCTTTCCACGAAGTTAATCATACTGCAAGGTAAAGAGCTAGTGTGCAACAAGAAGGTTCATGCTTCGGTGTAAAGTCTGCATGCTAATTGAGTAAGAATGCGTGTCTCATCAATAAGAAGAGCAGAGGGCCGCCTCTGGCGCAGCGATGCAGACAGACTTCTCTCCTCGGGGCAAGTTGTCCCAGATCATGCCAGCGGAGACAGCTTAGTCGTTACACACAGGTCTTGTGATGGCCCCTTTTAAAGCCTTTGCAGAGCAGATAACGAAAAGGGAGAGTGAGCCAGCAGATGGTGTGGTGGTGGAAGCACTGGCTGGACTCCCACGTGGCCCACCAGGGTTTGAGTTCCAGACTTGGCAGTTTGTTCTCATTTTTCCTCTCCCTGTCTCTTTCCTGTGAGCCTTTGCTTGGGAACTCCTCTCCCTGTCTCTTTCCTGTGAGCCTTATAGCAAAGTAAATAATAATAATAATAATAAAATAAATAAATAAATAAATAATTTTTAAAAAGAGAGAAGGGGTTAAAGAGAAATCTTAAGGAATGAATTTCCTCTTTATTCAGATCCAGACAATGCAAAATAAAATAAACATCCGATCACTTATCTGATGCTTTGAGTCTCAGGAGTCAGAGAAAACCAAGATCCTACCAAAAAGGATCATGTGGAATTAATCTCATGTGGACACGTTAATAATCTCATGCTGTTTTTGTGGGGACTTTTCCAAACTCAGAGTGTGTTTTATTAGTTTTGTTTGACGTTGTTATTGGATAGTAAAAACCATCGTTTAAATTAGGGATGTGAGGATTCTTCTAAAGACTAAAATTTCCTGAGATCTTTACAAAGAGGTATCTTCTATTCTAGCTCGAGGTCGTCTCTCTAGTGAACAGAGTATTTACTGAGCAATGCTGATTTCACAGGGCATTTCTGGTCTCCTCAAAGGCCCTGTTCCCTGTACAGGCTTGCCTTCATGATATTTAAATGTAACAATTACATTTGGATTACTCAAGCCAGTATTTTAATTTCTACATTTTTGTTTTGTTTCCTGACTTCTTTATTTTTTAAAAAGAATTACTTTATTTAACTTTATTTATTTTATGTATTTATTTTCATTTGAGCAGAGAGGGACAATGTGAGACAGAAAGAGAGAAGAGATGGAAAGTGAGAAAGCAAGCCACCAGGTCTAGGACTCGAACTGCAATTGCTCATGTGGGAGTCCAGTGCCCTTAATCATCAACCTGCTGACCCCTCTTTTCACTTTTTAATTTTAAAAAGTGTTTATTTAATTGATTTATTGCTGTTATTATTTTAATTTTCTACAGGGCACACACACTTACTTAATCAGAGAGAAAGAGAGAGAGAAAGAGAGGGAGAGAGAGAGAGAGAGAAAGTGAGAAAGCAAGTCACCAGATCCAAAACTTTCAACTCCAGTCTGACATGTGGGAGTCTAGTGCCTAAGCCACTGTGCCATCTGCTGGCCCCACCAGATGTTTGCTTGTTTGTTTGTTTTACATTTTTGCTATAAAGCACATGTACTCACCAGAGAGACAGAGAAAGGTAGAAAGCAAGAAATTACCTCTCAGAGGGGATGGCCACGCCACAATTTCTTTTCCTCCATTCTACTCTCAGGACCCTGGTCATACACTCACATGTGCCTGGTGTGAGTTTCAAGCCTCCAGGTCCAGGGCTCAAACCATGTTGGCCATGTGGGAGTCCAGCAACATGACTGTCATGCCATCTGCTGATCCCCTGACCCACTTTTAATGGAGAGAAAACTTACTTATATGGAGCTTCTAATCTTTATGTACTTATTCCATCAAATTTTCAGAGTGAAATAAATGTCTCCTTTTTTTATAACTACTTGATTATTAGGATTGCCTTGTTTTCTGGGGGCAGGGGAGCAATGATGTGTGGAAGAGAATAGAAGTGAAAAAAGTAGTAGTTGACTTGAATAATGTGTGCTCCAAATCTATCATTAAATATCCTGTATTATTTCTTTTTAAAATTTATTTGTTTAAGAGAGATTTTTGCTATAGGGCATGTGCACTCACCAGAAAGACAGAAAGAGATAGAAAGTGAGAAATCACCCCCCAGGGGGATGGCCATGCTGCAATCCCTTCTCCTCCGTTCTCCTCTTGGGATCTTAGGCACGCATGCACACACACACCCAAGGTGAATTTCAAGCCACCAGGTCTGGGACTCGAACCACAGTCAACTATGTGGGAGTCCAGCAACATAACCATTACACCATCTGCTGATCCTTCCTGTAAGATCTCTAACAAAACTATCAATGACAGTAAGGTTGACAGGTTGTCAGGAAGCCTTACATGTTTAAACTAGTTTAGCATTGGAGACTTTGTTACTGATTTTGTGTAACATATTTTCTGTTAGAGTTGTCCTTTGTGAATGACTTGGTTCAGAACAATGGACAGAGTCAAAATGTCTTAGAAAAGGACAGAGAGTGAGATAGCCTTTATCTACTTGGGGAGTCTGAGAACACCAGACAAAATGTCCACATTGTAGCTGCAAAGCATGAACAAGAGTAATGAAACAGAGCATTTCATTGCCTTGTGACATGCTTGCTTTATTTCTTGTTTAAAAATTCCATTCATAACAAAAAGATTAATAAAGATCATATTTAGCTTTGCCAGTATTTTGTCAATATAGAGGTAAAGTAGTCCCCACACATAGTTTTCTGTTGGTGATTTTTGGTTTTGTTTTGTTTGTTTGTTTGTTTCTCTTGGAGGGGGAACCTTTGTGTATATACAGCATTAAATGTAGTAAATTAAATGTAGTTTTTAGAATGCTTACAGTATGCAAGTCACCATTTTTTCTACTGCTTGAAGAGAGTAAAAATCCCTCTTTGCACCGTTTTTTTAGGTAACTAGAAAATGCTCTGTTGCATTTCTACCCTCAGTGTAAGAGGGGAGAGCTCAGTAAGTGTTTAGGCCAAATATCAGAATTCCTCCCCGTCACCAGGCTGCGGGGGCCCTAGACGAGGGAGAATGCTGGGTGGCCACAGCCTGATTCAGGTGGCAAGGAAAGAAGGGACATGATCAGGTGGCATTTCTGCAATCTGGTGTAGGCAGAGGCCTTGCCGCTGCCCTCAGAGGGTCTGGAAGGGCTGTGGGATTAGATCGCGCACATTCTGAGACTGACGCTTCCGGCCACACAAGCCAGACGATCATGGGTGGCATTTTCAGGGTCTTGAACTAGCTGAGACCTGGAATCCAACTAGGCCTGCCAGTACCCAGACCACGCATGTCTTCCCCCTGTGAACTTACTCAGGTGGCAGAAGGCAGGCCCCGCCTTCAGTGAGCAAGGAGTCTCAGCGGCATCTCCTTGGTGTGTTTTTGGGTGGTTTAGCCTCATGGGAGGTGACCCAGCCCACACTGGGCTTCTCAAGGGCACTTGGTTTTTCCTCTTGACATTCTGCTTTGCTCCCACATAGATTATATTTAAAGAATTGTGTCAAGAGCTGTGTTCTCCCTTTTCAGTATACAACACTCCAGTAATTGTCTCTCTTATGGGCTGCTCTGCCACTTAATTGGGGAATTTGAATATTTCGCAAATGGTTCACTGAACATCTCTATTCAAAGCACAGCCTACGTTGTAATTCTGTTCACCATAGTTACTGGGACTTGTAAGAACAGAGACCAGCAGATTTGAATTTTGTTTTTCTTTTAATATCCTACCTATTGAGCTGAAATGGTATATTATAAGAACTCTCCTGGGTTTTCTAGTAAATTTCAATGGCAGATGTGACTTCAGGAATCTGGAAACTTAGTAACAAGACTCTTCCTATAATCATCTAAAAGCTATTGGGCATGTAATAACATAAACATGGTGTGAATCTGTGAAAATAATAATGAGAGATCTGCGAGTTCTACTTTTCAGTAATCCTGGAGTTGGTAATAAGAGACTTTCTGTTATCATTTAAAAGCTATTGGCTTGTAACAAAATGGCCGTCCTGTGAATTAGAGGAGAGAGGATAGTAAGAGTCGGGTTTTGTTATTTTACTTCTTGATGATGTCCATTAGGTTTTAGAACACTTTACCTGAACTAGCTTCATAATCTAAGTACTTCCTAAATAATTTCATCTTTTTTTTGAGGTAGATATTAAATCCCAACACATAGCCTTATAAAGGTGCAACTTCCAGAGCACCACTTAAAACTGTGAATTTAAGAGAAATTCAAATAAAATAAAAATCCAAAGCTCAATTTAGGATAATTAGAATTCAAGTACTAGTGTTAGAAATACTAGAAATTCCTATTTAACCGAGATAATTAAAACCTTTGAGACTTTCATCCTATTTACAAAAGAGCCTTGGGGTAACAGTAAAAGTTAACTTTGTATGGGAACAACTGGATACAACATAAAAACAAAATTAGGCCAAGATGCTGAAAGAATATAGCAAATACCAATTCAAGCAGTAGGATTCTGTTCCTTTAACACATGATTCATCATTATATTTATTAGTAGTAAAAGGTATCTTTGTGTTCCACATATGTATCATTTTATAGATTTCACTTTATACCTATTGAAACAGTTTCAACTTCAGGTTGGGTACACTTCATTTCTGCTTTTACTCAATTGTATGTATTATTCAGTCTTTGCCTGCAAATAGTTAATTACAGCATGAAGATTAGTGGGCTTGGGGTGAGAAAAGGTAGAGACTTAAATCTAATATCCAGGAGGAGGAATTTCTCAGTGGCTTCTCTGTGATAACTACCTTAAAGTACCTAAAAGGTTAATTTCTTCATTGTGTTAAAGCTTAGGTGTTAACAGTTATCTTCTCTAAAGAATTCTTCAAAAGGTTCTTCCAGCTGAGCTATACTGGGAAAACCCAAGCTTTTTAGTTTTATTTGTTTGTTTGTTTGGGTCCTTATCTCCTTCCACTCCCCTTTTTATCAGTTTCTGTAGATAGGGTTACAAATGCATCCAGACCTTAAGCTTCAGCCTAACACCAGGCTGATCTAAGACACTCCTTCTGCTATG